ATTATTATTATTATTATTATTAATAATAATAATAATAATAATAATAATAATAGTTAGTATGTAATCATAGTTTACTTAGAATCTTTTCAAATAACTCAAAGTGCTGCACAATAGCACACACATAAAAGCCATAAAGCTATAAAATAATGAACTATAAAATAAATGATTAAATTACATAGTAAAATTATCAAACAAAATGAAGAGTCAAACAATTGTATTTCAAACACTATTGTAAAACGGGACTAAAAGTGAGTTTGAAAAAAGTCCACAGTCAGATGGAGTCTGTATTGGACTTGGCTTTATCATTATAATTATCATGGGTTTATCATTATAATGCATAATCTTGCAACAGAGAAGAGAAGGCTCTGTCAGCTGTTGTGTGGAGACAGGTTTTAGGTGAAATAGGGAGACCTGAATCAGCAGATCTCAGATTCAGTTTTGCACTATACTCTTGCAATATTTCCTTAAGATATTTTCTGCAGGTAACTTAGAGCTAGACTGTTCATTGCTTTATACTGTGTGGTAAGCATAAGAGTTTTAAAATTGAATCTACATTTCACAGGGACCTAATACAATTTATCCAGCATAGTAGTTATATGCTGAGAAAGCACACTGGTTGCAGAATTCCAGACATATTAAAGCCTGTTTAATACTTTAGTGAATGCTTCAGTACTTTGTTACAGCAGTTAAATGTTGACCAAATAAAGGCTAACCGTTTAAAATTCTGTTTTTCATCATCAAATAAACAGAGCAAGGACCTTATCCTGTCATTGTTACACAAATGGGAATAGGATACCCTAACTGATATTTGTAATGAGGGCTTTGAATAGCAACACAGAGTCAAAATGTGTTTTTTTAACAATACCAGCAGCAACAACACTGACTAGCTTGTTACCTAGAATTCTCTCTCAATGTCTTGTTGGCATTTTAGAACTAAATGATAGATATGGCTTAACGTAGCAACATGTCTTTTGCTAAGGGAGAGTTGTAAAAAGGCCATGTGTTGTAAAGTCTGGTGTTGCTTTCCCATACAGACCCGGACTGGGCTAGTCTGAACCTGGGGGCTCTTATCTGTATCGAGTGCTCGGGGATCCACAGAAACCTGGGCACACACTTGTCCCGTGTGCGGTCACTGGACCTGGACGACTGGCCCGTAGAGCTCAGCATGGTGATGACTGCTATCGGCAATGCCATGGCCAACAGTGTGTGGGAGGGCTCAGTGGAAGGCTACACTAAACCAGGGAACGAGAGCAACAGGTGAGTCTGGGTTGAGAGAATGTGCCACCCACAGTACTAACTGCTTATTAAAAGCACAGTAATTTAGGAATCGTAAAGAATAAAAAATACATATAGTAAAGTGTATGTAATTCTTACTGTCTGTGGGGTTGTAATCAGTTTTGTTATCTCTTGTGGCAGCTTTAAGTTTTCTCATAGAAGCAAAATTTTTATTCTTCCATTTTTGTGTGGTACTACATTTGTCAAAGGTATGACCTAAAACTTGTGTATTTTCTTAATTATTTTTGTGCTTGGTTAGTTTCCGCTTGGATAGTCTGTACTAACGGAATGCCTTTTAAAGACTCAAGATGTCGGTGACCTGGTCTTTAGGGCAAATATGTCAAATCTACATTCCTCTGTAATCAACTCTGCTGTGCTGTGACTCAGACTCTGACTTTCCCTTACCGTGTGGCCCTGTCAGAGTTTTTCTCTAATTTTTCACAACTTTAATGATGCTAATCTCCTTCTAAGCAGCCCAGAATTTTTACTTGCTGCGGTATTTTTACTACGATCTAAAGCTCCAATCTTTAGAAACTCAAAAATCATGGTGTGTCATAGATGCTTTCCTTTCAGCAAGCTAATGTGCCTTATTTGTTGTACTCTTTCTGCAATTTTAAAAATGTTCCAAGACAATGGCCATCAGTGTCATCAACGTCTGACAAAGGAGCACTGGGTCTTTTCATTTCCAAGTGATTCCCTATTGAATATGATAGATAACTGATGAGATTTAAAAAGTTCTTATATTATTAAGAACTGGACATAACATACAGTACTAAAATAGACAATCTGTTTCAGATTACATGTCTCTCTTTCTCTCTCACACTTGTTCTCAATCTCTATTTCTCTCAATCTCTTTGAGTGCCAGGGTTGTATTTATTTATATTTTGTTCTTTTTTGTTAGTAACTCTTAACCTAACAGGCTAACAGGCATGTTCTATAAATCTCCCATGACACCAATCAATAGAACTAAATTCGTATTTTGAAGCACCCCCAGTGGCTGTACTGGATTAGTTCATCTCCAGCTCTGTTTTGCTGTTTGTCTTTTTGTTGTGAAACAAGCTGCTGTTGGGACTTTTCCCTTTTATTCATTAACAGAGCCAGCCAATATTTCCTCCTGTCTATGGATATGTAATCAATCTCCACTTGAGTACAAAATAAGCTTCTTGTTCTTGAAAGGTTTGGAAGCAGTTGAATAATATCTGTATTTTCAAATGTCTGACATCTACAGTATAAAATACAAGCTGGCTTTCCTAGCAATGAAGAGCTTGTGCATTTCATTTTTAAAAATAAATAAATGTGTATTTATTGTATATATTGTAAATATTTATTTAATTCTCATTTTTTAATGAACAGCCCAAAAATTGACTTATGATCTTAACAGTGTTTAATTTATTTACAATATTGTTATTGGTCAGTCACATCATTGGCGCAGCAAGGCCTTTGAGCTTTCCAGAGTAAGATTAGTATAACATTTTATTTTGTAGGATAAAAAATACAGCTCAGCATCCTCTCTCTGTTTCTGAAATCTACAATGAGCAGCACAGGAAGGTGAAAACCCTGCTTTCATGCTTTGTCACTTACCAGTGCATGCTTATCATTTTAATGATGCATTTAATGCACATTAAGGAACAAAACCTGCCAAAGTAGTAAATGCACTGGCATAACATATAAATATGTGAGCAAAACATCATTATATATTAAGTGATTAATTAAATATGTATAAAAAATTCAATGGGTTTATTAGGAGTTCAACAAAAAGCACCGGATCAAGATTAGGTTAAGAATAATTGAATTACTAGACACACAATAAGGTGACCGTATGGCAACTATTGTCGAAGTTGCCAGGTGTGATTCCATCCAGCTCTGCCGTTGCGCGAGGGGATTAATAAAAGGATGAATCTCATCCCACTGCTCTGATTGTTTTTTGGGTGACGGATAGTGCTTGGGCGAGTCACCTGAGTGACAGTTTGATGTAATGCCTCGCTTGTAATTAACGAGACAATTATTGTGTTAAAGCTGACCCCAGGGGCTGCGCCCTTGGACCTGCTGAGCTCTGTCACTGATACATCACTAGAGACGAGTCCATTACTCTCATTCACTGGCACATTAGTGTGAGAGCTTGATTTAGACCAGATCTGTGCACTAAATGGAGCTGAAGAATTGGAGTCATCTTGGAGACTAAACAGCTGGCTGCTTCATATTTCTCTAGTGAACACTCCTAATATTTAACTGCCAGGGCAGCTTCTTTATTTCTTTTTTTAAATGGTTTAAAAGCCATTCCATCTCAGCTGCCTATTAGTTCTGGGGGAAAAATGACATGTTTTATTGATTTTGCATATTAAATAGTGTTGGTCCCCTCAGTTTTGCAGAGTAAAACCTGAAGGAGCCCGATGGATGTAGCTCCTTAAAGCAAAAAGATTTGAAATTCAAATGTCAGGTGCAGATTAAAATTGCACAAAGAATGTCTGAGGAGTTATTCATGAAGGATAAATAAGGTATTAAGCACAACAATCCTTTACATTGTTTTCGCACATTGTATTTTAAGTACCTTTTTAAACTTGCGTTTTTCTTTATGTAATTTGTTAGGACAGATCTACAATTCTTGTTTAGGTGAAGATTTATTGTTTATTAGATAATTATCTCATGCTTTGGCAAAGTATGTTTGGGGAAATTTTTTGAAAACTTTAGATTTTCAAAATATTGTGAAATATACCCGATAAACCGTCTGTCTTTGGAGTTTCAATGATTCTTAAATCAGTCGAAGGGACTTCTACTCTAATCTAAAAGTATTGATTAATACAGTCTCAAGGAACGTATTGTTTGATGTTATTTAGGAAAAGTGTATCCTGAAGTGCAGTGTCATTTGTACACCTCAGCTGTATCACCTGTCAAGAGATGCTGAAGCTGATTTAATTGCCCTATTTACAGTGTTTCACGGTCATGGATTGAAACAGAAAAAGAATTGCTACTAGATTTGAAAATAATTTGTTTTTTTATATTTTATTCAAACTGTAAATTATTTAAATGCATCCTAATATGATTGAGGCAGTTCATGAATTTCTAAAACCAAAATTAAGGCCAGCATTGGTTGAAATGAATGCATCTCTGGTGTTTAATATAGAAAAAGACTTTCGATCTTTTATCAATGAATTTGCATCCTTAGGTGAAGTCACACCACGCACCTGATTTCTTAGTCATGCTGTCTTAGTAATTCTAGTACTCACATTAATGGAGAACACCTGTGCAAATGCTAGGACTGCTTTTCGTACTGCTATTTTTTTTAATTGCAGCCTTATTTAGTGAAGCTTTACCTACACAAGTTATAGTTATTCTAGCCGAAAGTCTAAAGTGAACTGTAAAAATAAACTTTCTTCTGCCTTACAAAAATTTAAAAGGCATTTAACTGTTTATTACACTCTTAACTGCTCCTGATTAAGAAAATAATCCATGCGTGGTGTGTTCTACAATAGTTAAATAAATCCGTGCTGGGCAGCAGGGATAGAGTATGTGCACATTATTCACACTGCTTCTGTAAAGTTGCTGGGACAGAGAAATAGCACTGATCTGTAGGTCAGCAGATTATAAAGGGGTTGTAGTTTTAATTATCATCTTTCAGTTGTTGTGTTTTGCACTACAGCTCTAATTGCTTGGCAGGACTGTGAGACCACAACACTGAATGAGGAAAGACTTCTGCTTGACTCACAATATCCACCAACCCACCTCCATCCCCTCCCCCATCTCTCCATCTCTGTCTTTCATTTCTGCACTGTCCTGAAGCAAAGCCAGATCTGGACGGCTATCCCTCATCTTCACAGGCCTCACTGTCACCTCCCAGCCGTCTGCCCTGCCCTGGGCCACATAGGTAATAGCTCTGATGAAGACCTCCACTTTGTTTCAGAAATAATTTGCCATTCTCAAACCTTGCGGGGCTAAGCAGTAATAAAAATAAATCACATTGATACCAACATGCTGTCATTAACTCCTTCATTTCCTCTCGGGGTTCTTCTCATAGATTAGTGGTGAAGATTAGTGGAGAAGTTCTTTTAAAACTGCTGGAGAAGACTACTCTAGTCACTTCTTCAGCTACAATCTTAAACCAGTGCCACAGCATATGAAAATTAAGCAGACGTGTTGCGCAAAGAGGAAAAGACTTGTTTATTTTTGTTTGAGAGGTCTTTTTGTACTGTCTTTTGACATTGCTTTTTATTCAGTCAGAAAGAAGCTGTGTCAACTATTACATTCCAGGAACAGGAAGATTACTAGCTCTTTCATGTACATATTTGACAATTGCATTTTGTTCCATTTTCATGCTAATGTCTAATGTCACTGATACAGATTGAGAAAATGGAGCAGCTGCACAGCCCTTTGCGACTTGTTCGAAAATATAGCTGAAGCCCTTAGTTTGAAGGAGAGAATAAAAAAAAAAAACACGTCAGATACCTCTGAGGGCACATGAATTTAAACTTAAATGTCAACTTTATTAAGAAATATGGCATTTCTACTAAAATTGTTAATAATGTAGGTATCCCATCTTTTATACAACTATTATCTGGCAGAAAAGTAAGTAGTGCAGTGTTTGTGATGGTATCATTAATAGGGCACCTGTTGACGCTTGAAGAAACTACCTTGTCAGATCTTGACAGAGCCCAGTGTGTGTATGTGGACAACAGTGCTTGACAGCAAACTATTACAGGCCAAAATTCACTAAATATCTCTGTAGTCAGCATCTCTTATTCAGGGTACATTTATGTTCTTTTACCAGTGGAAAAAAACTTGGTATGAGCATATTTTTTTAATTTGTGCATTTTAGACCTTGAATTAGGCTAACTGTTCTTCAAGTTTTCCTTCTAAAGTGGCACTTTGTTAAATGGGAGACCAGTGCAGTACACATTAACCAGCAGAGCCCACTGGTAAAGAATTAAACCCTTCTACTGTGTTCAAACCACAGAGGTGGGTTTAGAATAGCCAGCTTGGCAGGCAAC